TTTGCCACCACAATGAACTTCAGGAAAATTTACTGAAGATAAATGAGGAGCTCAGGCAGTAACTGATGAACTTCAGGGCATCCCAATCCAGGGCTGAGTAAAGCACTTTAACTTATTACAGACTGACCTCACCCCAGCAAATCTTCTCCTGGCACGTCCAACCTGTGGTTTAATATCCATTACACCCAGGGAAAGGCTTTTAACTCTCTCTGAAGGAAGTGGGAAGGGAAATCAGTGGGTTGGGGCGTCCTGGGCAGGGCTGGGGTTGGACACACCGTCCCTGTGGGTCTCTTCCAGCTCAGGATATTCTGTGGTGGCCATGGATGAGATTCTTCATGTGAGAACTCCTGGCCAGCAGGTTAAAGATTAATATTAAAAAAAATTAGAACTTTTAATTTGAGTTTATAGAGTTTGTAATTTAGGGATTTTCTAAAAGTCAAGTCCTCCAGGCTTTTTGTACATTCTGACTTTGCTTCCATGACCCCTCCATCACTCAAAATCACAGAATTACAGAACCATGGACTGGTTTGGCTTGGAGGGACCTGAACACTTGAAGAATTTCCCTTTTGCTGAAGGGAAGTCATGCCAGCAGCACAGAGGGCTCAGCAAAAGGCAGGAATGCCCCTCAGGGATGGGGTTTATTCCCTGTGGAAGGGCCAGCTGTCTCCCAGGCACATTCCCACTCTCGTTTGCATCCCGCCCTCCCTCCCTGCCCACGTGGGCCTCATTTCCAAGCCTATTCAAAATGATATTTTCCAAGCATGTGCCACACGACTTGTTCATATAAATGGAACAAATTAAACTGTCTCCACAGATATCCCCTCACATTTGTAGCCCTGATTCCTCTCCCTCACACGCGGCCAAGACACCGAATTATCTCCCTGCAGAGGTTGACCTCAGGATATTGGATTCTGCCACGGAGCTCCCCGGGACTGAACCAACGGGAAGCACTTAATCACCCCTGCCTTTGCAGGGAAAAAAATCAACTTCCAATTTGCCCTGATGAAAAATCAATAAAGCAGTAATTGCTTGGCTTATCACGGCGCGGAGGGACAAATTGGGCAGCGGATCCCGGGGAACGGCGCGCGGACTTTCGGGATCACTAAGCCAGAAAAGGGAAAGGTCTCCGAGCCGTAATTAAATCTACTCCTGCTGATTTGCTGCCAAATTTATTTCCCTGGAGTTTATCAAAATGTTGCAGAGCTTACCAGGGGTGGGGGGGGGCAGAAGGAATCACTTCAGCAATGGGATGGCACGTGCTGGGCACGGGAAGGCAAAGCCTGGGATAGAGGGACTGGGACATGGAAATCCTGGGATAAAGGGACTGGGACATGGAAATCCTGGGATAAAGGGACAGGGAAATGGAAATTCTGGGATAAAGGGACAGGGAAATGGAAATCCTGGGATAAAGGGACCAGGAAATGTGAATCTTGGGGGTAAAGGGAGAAAGAAATGCAAATTCTGGGATAAAGGGAGCAGGAAATGCAAATTCTGGGATGAAGGGAGCAGGAAATGCAAATTCTGGGATAAAAGGACTGGGAAATGCACTCTGGGATAAAGGGACTGGGAAATGGACATCCTGGGATAAAGGGAGCAGGAAATGCAAATCTTGGGGTAAAGCGACCAGGAAATGCAAATTCTGGGATAAAGGCACCAGAAAATACAAATCCTGGGATAAAGAGACTGGGAAATGGAAATCCTGGGATAAAAGTACCGGGACATTCAAATCTCAGGATAAAGGCACCAAGAAATGCAAATTCTGGGGTAAAGGCACCAGGAAATGCAAATCACAGGATAAAGGCACCAGGAAATGCAAATTCTAGGATAAAGGCATCGGGATAAAGGCACTGGGAAACGTGAATTCTGGGGTAAAGGCACCAGGAAATGCAAATCCTGAGCTAAAGGCACTAGGAAATGCAAATACCAGGATAAGGGCACCAGGAAATGCAAATTCCAGGATAAAGGCACCAAGAAATGCAAATTCTAGGATAAAGGCACCAGGAATTGCAAATTCCAGGATAAGGGACAAGGAAATGCAAATCACAGGATAAAGGCACCAGGAAATGCAAATCCTGAGTTTAAAGCACTGGGAAATGCAAATTCCAGGATAAGGACGCCAGGAAATGCAAATCACAGAATAAAAAGGGACTGGGAAATGCAAATCACAGAATGAAGGCACTGGGATAAAGGCACCAGGAAATGCAAATTGCGGGATAAAGGGACAAGGAAATGCAAATTCCAGGATAAAGGCACTAGGAAATGCAAATTCCAGGATAAAGGGACAAGGAAATGCAAATCACAGAATAAAGGCGCCAGGAAATGCAAATTCTGGGATAAAGGCACTGGGATAGCACCTGCCCCATCCAGCACCACCCTCCCATCCATCCACCTATGGAATGACTGACTGCCAAAAATGCTTCTTTTCTATTCTGCTGTGATCCAGAACAACTTCTTTTCCTGGTTTTCTGATGCACCCTCAGCTCCTCCTCCCCACATGTGGCCCTGCCGTGGTGCTTTTTAAACTCAATATTTAAAAATATTATTATTAGTGGTAGATTAAGAGAAACGAGCCCAAAACCTCTCCCTAACATCATCCAACATGTTCCAATTTTTCCTTTGCATTTTTTGTTTTCAATTTTCCTCTCGTCCACGTCACCTATTTGGAATCTGTCGGGAGTAAAACCCAGCTGGGTGGCAAAATCCCCCTTGGATTTTGTCACTTTTCAGGCAGCCCCAAAGCCAGTAAACAAAAACCAAAGGAGGAAAACCCAAGCACTGAAAATTCTCCTGGAAAAGTGGTGGGTTTTGCTAATAGACCTAATTTCATGCAGCAAATTAGCATAGCTCCAATGGAAGTGCAAATGTAATCAAACTGAAAAATTCAAATGAGGCGGGGGGAGCCTTTTGCTTTTTCTCTTTGCTTTTTAGTCACTTAAAAAAAAAAAAAATCAGCATTTTGCTGTGTGTCCTTCACCAGGCTGGAGGGACTGTGGTAATTAAAACATTTAAACCAGCACAAGCCCCCAGTCTCTAATCTGGAGCTGGGGTCAGCTGTCTGTAGATTCTAATTTGTCCTCAATTTTTTATTCATGCTGGGGAAATGCTGCATATTGAACAGGAAACCAGCGGGAAGGGGCAGAGCTGGGCTTGGAGGTCAAATAATTTGATTTCCGAGCAGATTACACGGAACATCCAACGTCTAATCTCACACCTGATTTGGCAATAAAATGACAATAATAGGAATGTTAAGACACCCTCGCTGTGGGGTGGGCAATAACCAGGTTTTATGAGTGGGGAGAGGATTGGTTTGTTTGTAGAATTATTTTTATTGCAGCTCCTGAGTAAAGGAGTCACAGGCTGTCTACACAGGCTGGAATTTCCTTTTGGAGGGCTCTAGTTTGAGAAATAAAATATGGAATACTAGAGAAATAAAAATTATTTTTAAATAGTAATTTAGAATTTTTTAAAAATATTTAATTTAATATAATTTTGCTTTATCTCATTTAATTTCAATGACTGCATGCAGCACTCAATGCTCTGGTGGGGATCAGTCACAGTTTGGAATCAATGGTCTGCAAAGTTTTCCCAACCTCAGGGACCCCATGAGGGATCAAAGAGGGTTAAAAACCACCCAGAGATGTTGTGAGGAAGGAAGAACGAAGAAAAAATGCAAAATGCTCTTTTTTCCAAGGAAAAGTTGCCACTGGAGCCTGGGTCAGGGAAGGGAACACACTCCAAGCACCAGATAAATGTCCTGTTTGCAAATCCATATGGGACATAAACCTACCCAAAACTGGAATTCTGAATCCATATGGGACATAAACTTAACAAAAACTGAGTTTCCCAGTGTGCAATTCCCATGGATGTCTTTGGAATGCTTCAATGCTTCATACACAGTTTGAAGCATTCAAAAAACTTTGTATTTTCCAGGCAGAATCTTCCATTCCTAACTGGGAGCCAATTCAGCAAATGGATGGATTTGAGTTATTCAGAGAAAACCTTCTCTTCATTTTCCAACACTATGACATCCTCACAACCCTTCACAGCCTCCCCAGGACAGTTTTCATGGCTTATGAATAAATTGTAGAGAAGTTTTCCTCCCCATTTCCCTGGAAATTCCATTGTTCCCAAGTCATGAATTCCCCTTTTTTCCTCCCTCTGCCTTTCCCCCCCTCGCCCTTCCCAATCCCTGCTGGCACAGCCACTGCCAGCACATCTGCCATCACAATGGGATGGAAGCACAAACAAAAATAAATCCTGCATGGTTCCAAACCTTCCCTGCAAACTGGTGCTGGTGGGACCCAAGCAGCTCATCCCAAAATCCCTGTGCCCGTGGGACTCCTCCAGGTGGAAAGGCTCCCCTTGGGCCACTGGTTCCAAAATCCAGGAATCACAACAGGGAGGGGGCACAGTCCCTTGGTTTGGTCCCTTTTCCAGCCAGATTTGGGTTTTTCCCCTCCTGCCATGTCTGAGCTATCCCACTTTTCCACCTGAATTTCCTCCTTTGGAACCTTCTCCAAGCAGGATTAACTGGGAGCACCAATGAATTCCTCCCAGCATCCCACAGTCCCCAGGTAAAACAAACTAAAGATCAGAACATTTTGATTTGGAGTGAAATCCTCAGCAGCTGCTGTTTCAAAAATGGGGAATTTTCCTGAGTTCCCTCTTGGAAGTAAATGATGGAATCCCAGAGTGGTTTGGGTTGGAAGGGACCTTGAAGCCCACCCAGTTCCACAGGGCTCCAGTGAGGATTTGAGGCTCCTGGATTGTTTAGATTGGCTCCCTCATGATGTTGGATTTGTCTCTTCCCATCACTCCCTGACATTTCCATCCCTGTGGTTTCATTATTCCACCTGCAAAGCAGCAGCTCAGGGCACCAAATTCCATCATCAGCCCAGGCAGGAAAATCCCACAGCCCCACTGGAGTGTGGGCACTTAAAAATAATCATTTCTGACTTCCTGGGCTTTAGTTTGTCATGAAATAAAAGAACATTCCTCACCTTCTTCCTTTCTCCTCTTGGCTTCTTCTTCACTTCTCTCCTTGGCCTTCAACGCTTCGTCCGCTTTGGCTAAAAAGAAGAAATTGAGCGGGAATTAATTAAATTTATCCTATCAAATCATGGAATCATGGAATGGTTTGGGTTGGAAGGACCTTAAATCCCATCCAGTGCCACCCCAGCCATGGCAGGGACACCTCCCACTGTCCCAGGTGCTCCAAACCCAATGTCCAGCCTGGCCTGGGACACTGCCAGGGATGGGCTCTCAACAACTTCTTGCCAAACAGTATTTCCTGGGCTTTAAACCCAATTTCATGTTCCTTCCTGCAGGCCCCACAATGAAATCCACGTGCCTGACAGACCAGAGCTTGGTTCTTCACTAATTTTATTTGAAGTCATTCTCCCAGTTAAGGAATGGCATAAATGGGATTGTGGAGGGTGATATCAGGTCAATATTAGAGGCAATATTAATTCAATACAAATCCCCACATTCATTTTGGGGCAAGCAAAGCCCTTAAGAGACTTTTAGGAGGTTTTCTTTCTTTAAAGCCCAATGTGCCCAGCCAAAACTGCACCAAACATGGTGCACCCACGAAGGGGCAGATTTGCTGCCATAGTGAGTAACCCAGCACACCTATTTTGAGGCTAAAACAGAAACAATCAATATTTCCAGGGCTGCAGACTCTGTTCAGAGTGGGAGTCAGCTCTTCCTCAGGACTTTATTAGGTAGTACACAATTTCCTCTTCACTCCAAATCACAGCAGCAGTACTTAATCCATGTTACAACAATCTTCTTTTAAAAGAATTTTTTCCCTCTAGAAACCCCTTCCCTTATTACTTAATTATCTACCAGTTGCTCAACTGCAGGGGTTTTCAAACACTTTCCTACAGATGTTAAAGAAGATTAAAAATATACAGCACAGTAACAAGGGACTATCAATATACTCTGTAAATTAATTAAATTTCTGTTCTAGCACATCATTTATTCTAAAGCATTAATGTCTCAAAGGAGCCATTCTCTTTTATTGCCATCTCACTGCCTGATGAGTGAACTAAGTGAGAATAAGTCTCTAATAGCATTATACTTGATGAAATATTAAGTTTTCAAAAGTATCACCAGGCCAGAAAGAGAAGAACCAACAAGGACCAGGACTCCAGCATTTACACCAGGCCCTCTCAGGGAGGGAAATCACTATAAACTGTGCTCTGGATGGTAAGAGCCGAGTCAGATTTGCAAATATTTAATCCCAGCACCTCCTGAATTAAGCAAGAATTTATGAAAACCAAATTCAGCTCAGGGCTCATTCCTTTTTGGAGCCACCAGCTCCACCTTAAAATGCACAACCTGGCCAGGGTGTCACAAAGGGATCCCATCACTGCACTGACAGCTGCTCCCATCTCCACAGTTTTATACAGATTTAGACAACATTTAAAGCCGTGAAATATTAAAACTTTTTCTGCCACTGAAGATCATTACAAGAATCTATTAAATCCCATAATAAAACCAAACCACGAGTAACTCTAAAGACTTTTACTTCATTTACACTTTATTCTCCTTGGTAAAAGGACAGGGATAATAGAAATTCCATTTAAATTCAATTTTGGTGATATGTGTAATTGTAGATATACCCCTTGAGTCATGTAAAATGCTCAGCTTATGTTTCTTTCAAATTATCCCGCTCCCATTCCCATTCTGCTCCTTACAACTGTCTTCAATATGTATTAGCAGAGCTCATTAGGCTGGAATTTAATAATGCAAACATCAGGTGGATTTCAAGACCCTCCATTATCAGCACAAGATGGATTGCTCATATCGCTCGTGGGCCAACTGGGCACAATTTAGATTCAATAAACTACCAGGCCTAAATTTGATTTATCTATTCCACTGAGCTACTTTGTTCTTCCTGCCCGATTTGTTGCTGCACAGGAACAATTCATTGGGTATCTCAGTGGCAAAAAGATATTAAAACACACAGGAAAGATGCTGCTGGTCAATGAATACATTTTTAGCTTGTCTTTGTTAACTTTAAATCGCTGATTTCCAGCCCTTGTAAGCCAAGTTAAAACTGCTGCCCAGGCAGAGCTTGGCCTTTCAAGTCCTGGTTAATTAGAGGGACAACGGTATCACGAGGACAATTCTCCACACAAAATTGCTCATTAACAACAATTTAACTTAGCCCGTAAATCTCCAGAGCAGTCCTAGAGCTCACAGGGCTCTGCCCACCACGACCAACGCAGGCACTGAAACTCTGAGTTACTTCCAGGATTTAACATCAAACATTTCCCATTTTCTGTCATTTTTGCACAGAGTCCCAGAATGGGCCAGGCTGAGAGGACCATCCTGGAGAACATGGCACAGGATTGTATCCACTCTTCTTCTTCCTCTCCTTCTCCTCTTCTTTGTCTTCCTCCTCTTCCTCTTCTCCTCTTCCTTTTCTTCTCCTTCTTCTCCTTCCTCTTCTCCTCTTTCTCCTTTCTCTTCTTCTCCTTTTCTTCTCCTCCTCCTTCTCTTCTTGCTCTCCTTTTCTTCTCCTTCCTCTTCTTTTCTCCTTCTCCTTTCTCTTCTTCTTTTCTTCTCCTCCTCCTCCTCAATGCTGTTGTTATTATTATTATTATTATTATTATTTAGTGAATATATTGTTGTTCACCGTCCAAAAGCAGATGGTACTCTTCACTGCCATCAAAAACACTAAAAGAAATTCACTTTTCTCAAACCAAGCTGCAATCAAACAACAGATTTAAAGATCTTTACAACTTGAGGGTTGGATTTGATGGTCTGGGAGGGCTTTTCCAGCCTAAACAATTCCACGGAACCCCTGGAAATGCTCGAGGTTTGGGAAGCAGAGTCACTCCCTGATGGATGGGTGATGCTTTAATCCCCACCAGCCTCACACTGTGCCAAGGTGAAATTATACCAAGCAAAGCTGCTAATTAAGGGAAACCTGGAAATCTGTGAATTACACCAAGGTAGAAACAGGGCAGGGGATGTTTTGGGGCTGGAAAGGGCATTTTGGAGAGCGTGGCCATGGAGGAGCCCTCTCCCAGGGCATGGGAGCAGCAGGGAAGGTGCATGGAAAACACTCAGCCCCTCACTAAGGAGATTTCATTTTCCTGTCAAAATTAAAAAGAGAGGAGTGTCAGAACACCCACAACTGCAAACCACCAGAGGTCTGGAAAAATAAATTAATTCAACATAATTGTGGACTTTCCAACTGCTCAGAGTTGAAAATACAAGATGTGTCTGAGGAAAAGAAAGCCAAGAAACTGTAAAAACAAATGGACATCTCATTTAAAATGCAGCCAACCATCCACGGTGCTCATCAGAAAGACTTCACCTTTTTTTTTTAAACACAAACATTTTTGCACTTATAAAATATTCAGTCAGCTCACATATAAAAATACAAGTGGAATCCATTATTAATTTAAAAGGCCCTGTTTAATTTACATGCTATTTTTCTCTGGTATATTAAATTTATCAAGGCTTGTGGAAATCCTCTCCGCTGAATATTCATGGGCTGACGTGTAAAATTATCTGTTATCCATCTGACAGATTCCAGCACAAACTCCAAACAACCACTTGCCCAGAGCATTCCTCTGACAGCAGCACAGGAGCAGCACCCAGGAATTCTGAGTTCCAGAGGAAAAGTGACACCACCGCACACACTCTTACCACCCCAGATTTGAGCTGGTTTTCTGTATTTTTGCCTTTAGTAACATTTCACCCAACATTTAAACACCACTAACATACTTGGATGCCTTAGAAGGCTTTTCCAGCCTAAATGAGAGTATGATTCTATTAATCCATGACCCCCATAGCTCCACGGGGCTCTGTGATTCCATAAATCCATGTTTTGGGGGCTCACTTGCCCAGTCCATCGTCTCCCTGTCCTCCCTGATTACACCTGGAACACCCAATCCCCAAACATGGGAGTTCTGCCCTTGCTGCCCTGTAATTTAATTACACCAGACCCTAATTATGGATATTGGAGCCCTGAGGGTGAGGGAGGAGCTCACTGCCCTTCCCCTGCTCTGCCAGTCACACTTAGAAACTCCCCAGAAACCCAAATCTGGTTATTGTAAACTTCTCTGAGCTCCCAGGGGAACACTGCCAGTGTTTGGAAGGGAGATGTTATCCCACTGAAGGAATGCTATTCCTCACCTCTTCAGCACCAGTTCCCTGCCCTGTGTCATTTCAGAAAATATTCCTTATTTTGGGATAAATGTCCCGTTATGGCACAGTTAGTGAGCACCTGGCTCACGGCCACGAAAGTTTTCCCAAATATGAAATGGATTTTTGGTAGAAGATAAATTCAGTCATGTGCAACCCAACTGAGAAAACACAGGCAAAACCCAAACGTTGTCTTGTTCCAAAGGATAACTGAGAGAGTTGTGGTTATTTGGTATAACCAAGATATTTGTTTATATTGAGTATAACCAAGATAATAACCAAGATAAACCCTTTGCCACCAAGCAGGCAATTTCCCCTGTTTCATTCATTGTTACTGTTTTCAGGAATCAGTTTGTGGCTCACCTGCTGGCTGGGAACAGCACAGGGCTGGGAGAGAGCCCAGCAGCAAAGAGAGAATATCCAAAAACCCTCCTGAACAGTGCAGAGGGGTGAGACATGGAACCAATTTTGTGCAGGGATGGAGGCAGGCTCATCCCTGGAATATCAAGGTGCAGGGCAGGGATCTGGTGCTGGGCAGGGAAGGAAGAACTGAGAGCTGAAATCCTGCTCTGCTCCCCAAAGGCCTCCCCGATCCCGGTGACTGCCTCCTGTATTAAGACTGCCTTTCTCATCACTTAATGCTTATTTTCATCACTTTGCTTAAAATATTGATAATCAATTAGGGCTACGTCTGTTTTGCCACAGAATCTGTGTCACAGTCTATCAGGCTGTCAGGGCCAATTCAATCCTCATTCAAAGTTAATTTTTTCTCCATAAATCCGCCTTTGGAGGAGTCATTAGGCGCAGAACATAGCCCGAGGTGCAATCACCTATTCTCTTTCATTAGAGGCAGGCAGGGAAGGTGAGGGAGATTATTAGAACTTTGGAATGATCACAAAGCAGC